CCCCCCCCCCCCCAGCTGGCAATTCTTGGGGGGCGCAGAAATGAAAACGGGGCGCCGAATCCGCCGAATTTTGAAAATGGGTGGGAAAAAACGCATTTGAAAAAATATAGTTACTTCCACCAAGAAAAAATGTGTCTATAGGCTTACAAACAGACTGAGCGCATAGGCGACAAAGTGATATATTAAATTACATGTACAGACTATTTTTTCTAACCAGCCAGTATTGCTACCTCGCCGTCCTTACACGAAATCGTTCATATAGAAACATGATCAGTGATCACACACAATGTCGTATTACCGGAATATTGGTCAGGTTTCGAAGCGATCATGGGAATTATGCCCTTTTTTGCTGGTATTATACCCTTATATTATGCCTTTATTATGCTTCACGAATCACGAGAGCGGCGCAAATTATTAGATAGTTATGATAGTAAAGTTGTGTACACAATTTATTTGTTTGCGCAAGAAACATCATGACTCATTGAGTAATGTAAGCATAGATATCTTATATACACTAGATAGCGCATCTCTTTTAGTAAAATTGAAGCCAAGAATATTCCAGCGGTTACCCCCATTTGAATAGATGGCGGCCATGTTGGTCGTTCCCACTTAGTAATAAACGCTTAAAAACAACAATAACTTTTATCATTCGAATAGCTTAAAAATGTATTTGGAATAGGGTTAACTTAATGTTTAAGTTCCCTGTTTAAAAAATATAAAACATACGAATCTTCTCATTTCACGGGAACGACCTGAGACTGCAATCATGGCTTCAATTTTTGAATTGCAGAATAATTAGATGCACCATCTAGTGTATATAAGATATCTATGAATGTAAGTAATAAGATAATGCTGAAACGCGCGCCCTTTTGGCAGCCAGGCAAGGAAATCTTAAAATGCATGGTGTACCACTGACATTGACTCGCACCGATGTGCAGATGAACTGCTCAGCTTTGCAGAATCTTTTCAAAAATTGAAGTGTTCAGTGATTTTTGATGAAGACAAAGAAGAAGAGATTTAGACTCCGGTTCCGAATCTGAAACCGAAGACCACGAAGAAGAAACCGACAGCGAGTCAAGTAGCCTGCGTAGCTGGCGGTTTTAAGGGTTGGGGTTGAGGCGTGGGCAACGACGACGGAACTGCTGAAGAACCAATGGACATGGATAAACCATCATTTCTAGAAGCTCTGAGAATTTTGTTGAATCCTGATTACCACCTAGTTGATGCATTTCCAACTCTTTGTAAAGTTTACGCGATCGCAGTTGCAATTCCAATCAAACTCGCACACGTTCGTCTATGTCTCAAGAAAAACTTGAAGCGTTGCTACTTATGATCACTGAACGGAAGATTTTAATGTCTTTGGAAAAGGAGCAGATTATTACCGCCTTGGAGGTCTGACATCAGAATTCTCGAAGGCGCTTATATGAAAATGTTTAGAAAGGCTAGAAATCGACAATCGTTATTGAAACATTAAAGACATTGGAGAACATCGATCGGTCGATATGGGCAATATATATACGATACAACACGTGATATATAGTACTAACTATCTAGTGATATACTGTATAGTATTAACTCTTTTTGTATGTTTTGACAAAAAACGTGACAGATTCGTATCAAAGTGCAAGCACACTTTTTAGTAAAACATTAGTACATAACAAGTTATTAGTGAGATCGGCGTTTAATATAAATCAAAATATTTTATACAAATATACTCAACGAGTGACTTTATTCCTCCATAATTAATCTAAAATAAAGATTTATATATAGTAAAACTGATACCGTACTAATTTAAGTACTATACTACAAAATTCTAACCAAATTGCAAATTTCGACACGTTATAATCTCGTTTCCTGACCATCAGATTTCTGTCAAATCTTCCCCCAAAGTCCAGGAAATGGCATTTCAGAGACTCTAAATTTAAAATATTTCCGGGGGGGGGGCATGCCCCCGGAACCCCCTAGGAACACCTGGCACCTGCGGCGCTCGGCTAGTGCCTTCGGCCCTCGTTTATCAAGCGTTACATTATAGGGGCGTATATTGATTGATAGCTCACTGGCCACCCCAGAAAAATAGTACCCAGCACGCTACTGATCACCAGCTCGCTTTGGTGGCCACTTTTTCCTACCACGTTACGACGTCATCGTCATACTGTGTGCTATTTAACTGACCAGACAGCAAAATGTTATCTATTTGATAAAATATGAAAAATTGTTGGATGGTACAAGTGATGAATGAATGAAAGATATAGATGTTAGATGCTAAATCTTGATCGATCATTTAATTGTCAGGTATTGTATTTGCCATAACTGAATTTCATTGTATTTTTATTGTTTTAGTCGAGATCAAATTAATAAAAAATGTTTCAATAACTCCTCTGAAGCAAAATGCTAATCTTGAACAATTTAAAGTTTCTCGCGAGAATTGTTTCACTGTTGAAGTTGAAAACAGAGAACCGCTGGTTGTATTACCTATGGAGAAACGTATTGCGCAGTGTTGGGTGAGAGGTTTGTCACTGCTGGCTGCGAATAAAGGTGAGCTTATTGAGTTAGTACAGTACACTCTAAAAGTTGAGCTTATTGAGTTAGTACAGTACACTCTAAAAACACTCTGGTTAAAATTCCTGCTTAAATTTCCTGTTTAACCTTGAAATAACCCAATTTGGGTGAACTTAATATTCCTGGTTTATTTTCCTGGTGATTTTGACCGATAGTCTGGTTAATTTGACCAGCACATCCTTGTTAAATTAACCCGACAATGTTAGGTGGATCAATAACGAGGAGCTGGTTATCCTAACATAGTCTAGTTAATTTAACCAGGAAGACCAGATTCCTGGTTATATTACCAGACTAGGAAGTGAGAACCAGGAAGCCAGGAATATTAAGTTTGTGTTTTTTCGCATGTAGTTATTGTTTTCTATTAGAATATACTTATTTTTATTGTGAGATGTTCCCACCCCTTTTTATTTAATTATTGGTAGACTTTTGATATGTGCATAAACTGAACGAGTCTTTCTGTATATTCCCACGCTGATGCCTTAAGGAAATTTTGAGGAAATTCAGACACCACGAGTGACTGAATTTGTGAGTGGCTTATTGCCTTAATACGTTTTGTAATTATGTATATTTTTCGCCCAATTAAATACTGACTATCTTCTAAACATTATTTTTTTTTTCAGCCTCTACGGATAGATCACTTTCACCAAAAAGAAAATATCCTTTTGACTTTTCCTTAAAATTGATGTACTACTATCTATGCAGTATATACTTGGAAAAGGAGAAAACTATAGAATATCTCTAATTTGGAACAGTGTAAATGCTTATGGGGAAATCGTCACCAGAACCTTTTTCGTATTTTTGGGACTTTCAGGACTGCATAAAGCCGTTTACGAGAAATAATTTAACGAGGATATGTTTAAGTGTATATCAGTATCAAGCTATCTGCTCACTATGTCTTTGGGTGAATCCGGTGCATGGCGTTCTTATCGAGAACATGCAGTAACTGGCGCATTCTAATTATTAATCAGCGCTCTTTCCTCCATTGCATTTAGAACAAAATTTTCCTTAATTACAGTATTTTACATGGTTATTTGACCGCTTCGATTATTATGATAGAAACAAGAGTGGTCTTATGGAATTCAGTGAACTTATCAAAATCGTCGCTTCTTTCAACATTCCAATGACTAAAGATAATCTGATGAAGAAATTCCAGGTAAGATCTTTATGGCGCAGATATTATGCTATCGAATGGGAAATTTGTGCGTGTTTGTGGAATGCACTTTTATTGACCTATTATTCTTAAACCTGGAATGGCCTGTCCCACTCAAATAGCCCCCGGTTTAATACATCCTCAGGACATTACCAATCTGCAGCCTCATTGCCACTTTAAGCCTTTTGGGCAGGCCACTGATTGAGCAGCACCATCAACAACGTAACAAGAGCAACAGTAAAGGCGCTGTTCTAAATGATTTCAGCATTGCATTGCAAGCGATGTTACACCAAGCAATATGTTTCATGCAACTTGCAATGATCATGGTTAAAAATAGCATAAAAACTACGAGTGCTAACGTTTGACGCCAAATTGTCAGCCAAGAGCCAATAGGAAGCCATTCAGTTAGTAAACATTGTGAGATAAGTTGCAAGAGGGGTGTTACACTGTGCAATGTTTTAATTATGCGTTGCAGCGTTACCACAATCGTTGCGAGAGGTAGAACCTGATTCTACTTTGTGCAATGCTTGTTGCAACAAAAATGTTGCGAGACTTGATAATTGCGAGGCATGTTACACCTTCCAAGTTCGCGTGCAACTTGTGTCGCAACAAAATTCCGAGAAAAGTTGTATAGTGTAACAGCGCCTAACAACATCAAGCACTGCGAAAACTACAGTCAAGTAGTTGAGTCAAGTAATGCCGGACAACAAAACGAAATACTGCATCTCAGTGTAGATACATGTACGCTTAGCGTACCTAGTTTTGTGTTATATAGCTGAGTTTCTATGTAACATTTGTGTTTAGGAATTCAACACAAACGAAGAGGCAGCTGATAAAAAGCCAGGATTGGATAAAACTGAGTTCGCAGCATTTTTCGAAAGTTTATCAAAACGACGTGATATTGAAGAAACTGTAATGGCACAATATTCTTCTAATGGAAATTATCTTACTTGTCAAGAATTGCTATCATTTCTCAGAAATTCTCAAGGGGTAAGTTGCATTACATCCAGTTCAGTTTATTTACGTTTGATGGATATAACTCAAAACAACTACACCCCGACCTTTAAGCGCGAAAACACAGCATCTTAAATTTTGTAAACGGCCTGACTCTTCCATAGTTCCCCAAAATCACTCTGAAAAAACGACACAATGATACACGGATAGGACGCATTGGTCCATGGGAATGCGATAACGATCGAGTGACTGGGGACGAATCTGACGGCAAGATATATAATGTTCCACGCGTTGCAATATGGAAAATATACATCCTTGTACCCAACGGCCTTCAATATGGAAAATATACATCCTTGTACCCAACGGACATTACATATCAAATGCTTGCAGTAGTTGCTTATGCGCGCATGCTTGTGAATTGATAGCGCTTTCTCAACGCTGGGACGAAAAACAGAAGTATTACGAAGAAACAGACTTCGTCCCAGTCTCGTGTAAATGGGCCTAATTTTCAACGAGTGACCGAGTGAAAATGGCTCTGGGGACGAGAATGGGAAAATATACAGCTCGCATATACTTCAAATTGAACTTGTCCTTCGGCTTTGTTCAATTTTAATAATCGTTGATAATCGTGTGTCGTGCATGTCTTTCCGAAACCACATGCTATTACTATATTAATAGTAAAAATTACAATATTTATCACGTTATAGATAACAGAAGCGACGGAGGAAGATTGCAAACGAATTGTTCTGTCCTATGAATTGGTCAGTGAATTGAAATCTGAAAATTGTTTTGGAGTTGATGGTATTGACTGGTTATATTTGTTACGTAAAAATACGGGCACAGGCATGCGTTTGGTAATGATGCAACACTTCAATGGCGATGGGCTGACAGCCCAGAGCTATTCAATGATCTGATATTGTATCACTTGACAGAACACTTAATACAGTCTTGGACGTGTTTCGCTACAACGAAACCCTTTGGCATTCTAGAGCTGTGCACACTCCGGTTATTTTAGCTCCGGCTCCGGCAGTCAAAACTCTGGCTCCGGCAAGGAAAATTTAAGGAAATTTCATATTTAAAAGTAGAAGCAGGCAAACGTATTTCAGAATTTATTTTATTCCTTTTTGAGCTTTCTTTTTTACTTATCAAATATACGTTTATTATTATTATTATTAGCGCGGTATTTTCGCCCAAAATACATCGGGGTCAGCGAATTTTTGTATCAAAAGCAATAGCAATACGCTTGCATAATTTTCGAAGCCACGAATCGGATCGGAGAAAGTAATTAATTTGCAAGAATTGCATTCATTTGTACGAAACTACAGAGAAACAAAATAACATGCCCGTTATTATTGCAGGTTGCCGTAAACTACATGGCCGTTATTTAGAACAGGTTTTCTTGGTTAAAACCACGTGCATTGTTTACGCACAATAGGGCTAACGTAAAAACATTAACTTATACTACTACAATTGCCGTAGTAATAATAATATACATGAAAAAATTACTCAATTCTGAAGAACATTGAAAAACTATGAAACTCATTAGAATAACAATATAACTCATTATCTATGTTAATGTTAGTCAACGTTTATTCATAAATCTGGTCCTTCACCGTCACGTGTGTGGATTTAGCAAAAATACAATACACACGTGACGGTGAACGACCAGATTTATGAATAAACGTTGACCAACATAGACAATGAGTTATATTGTTATTCTAATGAATTTCATAGCCATCTTCCCTCCGATAAGCTATGTACTGTGTAAAGTTGAAAATTTGTACTATAAGTTGTGCCATTCAGATGTACTATAAGTTGTGCCATTCAGGTAGGAACCGGGGAGGGGGGCACAGGAAGCACGTGTCCCCCCCCCAACCCTTTCAAAGGACCAAAAGTGCCCTCTTTTGTGATGAAAAATGCCATTTTGTACAAATTAATGTCGCTGTAAATACTAAATTAACATCAAAGGTGCCCTTTTTGTTTGGAAATTTCGAAGTTTTTAAAAAAAAATTTGGTCAAAAACGTGCAATTTCGGTATGGTATGAAGGGGACATTTTCCTCCCCTCCCTCCCCCCCCCCATTGCAAACATTTCCGGGAAAAATTATTTAGGTGCCCTTTTCAATATCCAAAAGTGCCCCTGGAAGTCGGTGTTCCCCCAATCTTTTGATGCTTCCTACGCCCCAGCAAATGCGTGAATAAATGATTTATTTCATGTGTTTCATGCATGCAAGTTACCATGAATTTGCTTCTGCATAATTTCATGTATATTTCATTGATAAGTACAGTAATTAGTTTATCCTGATGGTGACTGAAATATAGTCGAAATGTTGCTAAAAATAAAATGTCATCGATCTTTGGAGTTGCACTTGTTTTGTATTTTGTGATAGTATAGTATGGTTTGTTGTGTAATTAGGAAAAATTTACACTCGTGAGTTTTTCACCATTCGGATTTGTGCAATTTTGATTGCCATTATCACGAACTCACTCGTGCATGGTTTTTTCCAAATACACCCTTCCGGAAAGTACGTCATTTGGCTATAGGACCTCGTTTTTGTCTGTGTGACATTACAGTTATTAAACGCCAACGTCTCAATCACGAAAACGAGGCTCTATTGCCAAAGTGACGTACTTTCCGGAATTTATTGCACTCTAGCGAGGTTCAGATTTGACGGCCACTACCGCTGTAGCATTGAGGGGCCAAGGGGCCAATCAGATGCGTTTGATATATATCCGATTAACCAATCAAATGCATACTAATTTAGCTAGCGAGAGGTAGTGGTATAGTGGAAGTCATATCTGAATCTTTCTACTATTACCTCAGTCTAAAAATAAGTAAAAACAGTTTACATATTGGGATCAAGGAATCAAGGCCAAAGAGAAATATTTTTGCGCGGCTATCTGCATGTGCCACCACGAGTATCTGCATGTGCCACCAAAACAGCAACCGATCCAACTCTCATTCACTTAACAACTACAAAACCCGATACAAACGCTTGTCATGAGTATATTGTGTGAGTATATTATATCAGTAATTATATTTATATATTGTCAGGTTTTGCTGGATATTTGTTGTCAAAAGAAGGCAATGTATATAACGAAAATCATGACATTTATTATCAAGATTTAACACAGCCGCTGTCACACTACTTCATATCGTCGTCTCATAACACGTACGTATCACTACTTGGTTTTCTACTGCCAAAATTCAAAAAGCTATATAGAACAGAAATTTGCTTCATGGACACTGTCGATTTGTGTATACGTTTGTTCACGTTTTCAGTGAATATGACATATAATGACGTAACCGAACGACTGAACAATTTGCCTTATTACAGTATACATAATGAGATGCATATAAGACACTCGATAGCAAAGTCAGAAGAACTTTAAACACATTTTTAAGCGTGTAACTATTGAATATATATTTTACGACCGTTTATTTTGATGATGGTAGTATATTTGCTGGGCTGTCTATGGAATTATTGTATGTTACATGAAATTTTTCAAGGATGGAAATTGGAAACCCATCCCCTCAAGTCTTATACTTCATGTGTGAGCAATAGTACGTATTTTGTCTCATTAGAAAGAACTTACTTATATTTAAGAGATATATATTGGATATTTTGCTTAATCCTTGAAATATTTTAACTAAAAACAAATAGTTCTCTGACAACTTGAATTACTTGTTTGACATCATGAACGATGGTTTTTATGTCGTCCAAAGCAGGCTGTGCCATATAAAACTACTTTGTGAACGAACAACAAAGGATGGTCATATATATGTACCAAAAGATAGCGTTTGACTCATATGCGCTGTGGTTGTCAATATAATTTTGAATAAGCATGTGACGAACTTGTGACGCTACATTAATCCACAAACACAGCTCACTTGTGCTGATTCCTTGCTCATGTATTTCATCGCAATTCATTGTAGATATTTAGAAGGTGATCAACTACGAGGAAAGGCCTCGGTTCAAGCTTACATAAACGCCTTTAAGAACGGTTGCCGTTGTGTTGAACGTAAGTCTTTTAACTTAAATGATTTATCCTGCTGGACATATCTATCAATGTCTTCCCTAAGGTAGACCAGTAGGTCCAGTGTTGGTGCACGAGGAAACCGGAGAATCCGGATAAAACCTGTAATGCATGGTGAGTCAAACTAGTGTTTGCTAGGGATGGCTTTACTGGGGGCTGCAGGGGGGGTGCGCATGCAAATCCATTTTTTCGAGTTGGAAGGCAATATCCTGTCACCATTGCGACAATAATAGCCCTGAATGCTTCCAGGAGCAATGTTTCATCCATTCTACAGAATACTGCTGTGCGTAGCTCCAAATGTTCATGGACTTGGTGGACGGTCGCACCCCGTAACCATGATCATGGGTCGATGAGCACCGTCCCCCCCCATCCACCCCCACCTGATCTGGCCGGATTCATCCCTGGTGTTCGTCGCATACGCGATTGAGGTGAAACTATAATAATTATCAGACAAATGCATTTTGCAGGAATGGAAACCTAGAGATGAAAGGCACTAATTACTGTACCACCAACCATCCCCACAACTCTTCGTTTTAATACGTTTGATATTTCTTACGTTATCATGCTGACAAACACACATAGTAACAAACATAATAAATGAAAACATAATCTCCTCCACAACTACATGAATGACTTTTTTATTATCTGACGTCATGTTGTACAAGTACACGTAAGTAAGGTCTAGATACCCTGGCTCTGAGTATCGTCACTTCTGGGACAAATGCACATTGCCCAATTAAGGACAAATTGATTAAATTTTGGTCAATTAAATTTGGATGAGAAATTAGGGAAATTAGAGATAAGTTTGTCTTGCCTTGACGAGCAGAGTAAACTGAATGTATAATTTTAGCCCATTGTATAATTTATGCATGGTACATAACTTATAAAAACTAGCAAGCGAATTCGCTTGCGAAGGTATGCAGTCACGGAGTGCCCTCTAGTTTTTATATTTAATTGTGTGCAGTCTCCAAATGGCCTGTAGTTTTATGTATTAATTGAATAAAAAATTCTTAAATTTGATAAACTTTATTTATTTAACCTTGGTAAATTCATGTATTTCCCACTAAATAACCTTCTCCCTCGAAGTTTTGATGATACTTTTCTGCGGGAAACTGATATTCACAATTATTACACAAGGAATTTTGATTTGTACTACGTGCCCTTTTCTAGAACAAATATTCGGAAATTTACAGTTAATCATCAAGGACCTAAGTTCTTTAATTCTCTTAGCCAAGATATTCGAAATGCTTCAACTGCTTCATGTTTTCAACTTAAACTGAAACATTATCTTTTCTGCATGTAACAGTGAACATTATATTCCAGTATCTAATAATTTACATCTCAATTTCTCTCTGTCTGCTCTGCATTAATTTTCTTTTCTATAATTGTAAGAACAATTATGATTTTAATTTATGCCGCTTGTAATTATATTAGCATCTGTATATTCATGAGTATGTAAAAAGGAGCCCAAATTCCATAAGCTTTTAGTTTCTCTTTGGGCTTCCTTGCCAGTATACGCTATTGCATTGTTTTTATTCTATATGTAAATCTGGTGAAATAAATTGATTTGACTTGTATCTTCGTTTCCAGTTGACTGTTGGGATGGTGATGATGGAGAACCAGTGGTCTTTCATGGTCATACTTTGGTCAATAAAATTCTCTTCAAGGATATTGTTCAAGCTATTCAGGAATCTGCCTTCACCGCTTCACCGTATGTTCTAGATTAACTTGTCTTAATGATGTTAGAATTAGCCGGAAATCTGATGAAATTTTATTCAATTTTCAGTTACCCAGTGATTTTGTCATTGGAGAATCATTGCAGTGTTCCTCAGCAAACAAAGATGGCGTCCTATTTAAAAGATATTTTAGGCGGTATCCTTTTACTACTGTAATATTGATTAGATTCGTGAGTTTTGTCTATATAGAGACCTGCAAAAAGCTCAATGTAATAGGTTAACTCAACCAATAATTAAGTTGATAAATTAATCGATAAATTATCACGGCTTTGCTAGGATAAATGATTAAATATCCGTCAATTGAATCTCATACCTTGCGACGTATCATTAAATAAAAACACTTCAACAGCTATTCATCAAACTTTATTCATTTTCCTTAATTTTTATTTCAAAGATAAACTATTTTGTAATTGTGTTGACAGCAGTTTACAAGATCTTCCCTCGCCAGAATTCTTTAAAAATAAGATCCTCGTCAAGGTACCGCTGGGTTTAATTTTAATAATCGAATTTCGTATAGTAGATTTTAGTTTGTGTTGTTTGCTAAGATTCTAAAATGCTGCATTTTCTCCTTCAAGAAAGTTTATAAAAAGGCGTTACATTTATTTTATACTAGTCTTGAAATCCTAGTATTATGACTATATGGATCTGATCATTTAGGGTAAGAAATTAAAAGAATCAGCTGGTAGTGGGGGAGAAGAAGATGGCTTCATTTCAGAAGAAGAAGAAGAAGACGAAGCAGTTCGTTTGGATGAACAGGGAAATGTTGTCGAAAATCAAAGTCGAGAATCAGAACAGGTGAGAGAGGTGGTGCGAGGGTATAGCCAGAAACGTAAACACCAATTCGTAAATACCAGCAAATGATCATGATTTGGGATTGCCTTCCTGCATGTATACCAAAAAACGGCCAATGTTCAAATGTATATACCGATATTCGAATGAACAATGGAAATTGTTGATTTTGTTATCTTAGAGAAATTAAATAAGGATATACATGAGTAATGTTATGAAAGATAATTGTCCTGAAATAATGTGCAAAATAAGTTTAGTTTTTAGACAGCAATAGTCAGAATCAGCAACGGAATTATACGGCAAATTAAGGCTTTTTGACAACATTTAAATACTCAGCCCTATGCAATGTAAATTAATTAATAGGCAACCGTAATTAAATAAATTCAAATGAAGTGAATGAAAGGAAATGAATCCTAGAGTCTCCGTCTGTATTATTAATTTTCTTTTTAAGGGTGATAAAAAGTCAAATGGAAAAAAGAAAGGGATGAAACTGGCACCAGAACTTTCCAAACTTGTCAACTATTGCAAAGCAGTTCACTTTTATGACTTTGGTAAGAGCAAGCAAGAAGGCAAATGTTTTGAAATGTCATCATTTGGTGAGAGCAAGACGAAGAAATTCATCAAAGAAAAACGTTCAGAGTTTATTGATTACAACAAGAAACAATTGAGTCGGATTTATCCTGCGGGTAGTCGAGTAGATTCAAGTAATTATAATCCATTGATGGCTTGGAGTGCTGGTTGTCAGATTGGTAAGACTGTATTTAAATATATTTAAAATACTCATTAATAATTCATAAACCTTGTGGCAAATCATGTCAGCCATAATATGTCACGTGGAGTGACTTTATCACTTTATATCGGATAAAACACTCCTCGTGTTTTAAATAGTACATAATTAATAAAGACACCTATATATTCAATGTTAAACAGTCGATCCAGTGATCAGATTATGTCATTAACAATTATTTTATTTTTTTGAAAATACTGTATCTTTGTTCTTCATTTACTAGCCCCCGTTATTCAATGTCCCAATTCCTTTTAATTATTCTGCAAAGTAACACCAATTGGGATTGGCTAGAAGTCCTGTAAACGCAGTCAAACTATTAATAGTAATACTCGCTTTTTATTACGTTTCATAAACACCAATATATACTGTACCAGAGTGCTTTTCGAGTATTCCCAATCAATTACACACCTTGCACCAAGAAAATACCGCATATATAGTATTTTTGATTTTCTTGTAATATAATAGCGGTCATGTTGTCGTTGATCGACAACTTCAATCAGTTAAATGTTTCGACGAATGGACTAAAAACAAATGGAGACAAAATAAATCATGAAGTACATTCACGATGCCACATTTCGACGCTCTGGTCTTCACTAGATGAAAAACTAAAGTGTTGATTCGTGATTCAATTTTTCGGGGGATCACATATTAACAAGATAGCGAGCTAAAATATGTCTGATATATTGTTGCTGCGAACTATCCTGAAAATTCAATTCATATATATTTTAGATATTTCTTTAAGGTATTCTTCCACCAGCGAGTGAATATACGTGAAAACCATGCAGACCCCTAATGCAGAATAAAGAGGATCAGATATTCACGGTACCTAACTTGACATTCGACCATTTTTTTTCAGTTGCGTTAAATTTCCAAACTAGAAGTGCAATGATGGATTTATATCTGGGTAAATTTCGTCAGAATGGAAACTCAGGTTATATTTTGAAACCAGAATATATGAGATTAGGTTAGTATGACTACACTATCTAAACAATCC